GTGAGGGCTACGTTCTCTACGTTAATGGGGTGACTGCTGTTGGGAGGCGCTTGGCCGGGGCGTTCCAAAGGCCGTGGCCACGGATGCGGTGTAGTTACGAACCCCTGTCTTCCACCAGGTGGAATCTGAAGATGCTGCAGTGTTGCCGGTGCCTGCACTGGTTCCACGAGGCCTGTACCCAGTGCCTGACCAAGCCGCTACTCTACGGAGACAGGTGAGATGGCCTGAGCCCGCCTACAGTGCCCGCCTTTGACCCCACCCCCACCCCTCCCCCGGACCTGTCACATGCTGCGTCGTTGGATCCTTTCATGCCCGCTCCTGACCTGTTACCGAGCAGCAAGAGCGTACAAGATCCCGAGACAAGTGGGAAGCCGTAGGGACGCGCCGCCCACCCCCTTTCCCCCACCCCTCCCCCCCGCCCCCTTTTTGTGGGAGGTACGGCAACTAAGGGACAGTGTTGTGGAGAAGGAAATGATAAGGCGTCTCCCACTGAGGATGGGAGGGGGTTGATATTGAGAGTTGCTGGTCTGTGGAACCCCCTGCCCCAGAGAACGATATAGGGGCGGTGGGGATATCTTTAGGGGGAAGCTCAGAGAGTGGAGCCGAGGCTCCCAGCCCTGTTGGTCTAGTCTCGGTGAGGGTGGCTGCGAAGCCACTGCATTGTTGTCAGAGAAACGCAGCTGGCTCTCTACTCTCCGAGTAAAGCGAACCCGCTCTCCCCAACTCCTGTGGCCTGCACGTGACTCCCGGCCACAGCTACGTGGTTGGCCCTTAACCACACTCACCCGCTGAAACGGCCCAAGCCAGCGAATCAGATGTCAATGAGGCAGCTCAGCTGATTTAAAAAGTTGGCTGGGACAACCAGATTGACGCCAGGTCAGAGTTCATCGATGTTAAACCCTGCTGTCTTTTGGCTGACGCATTGACTCAAGTGTGAACTGAATGGAATTGGAATGAGCTTTATTGTCACAAGTGCTCTGATGAGTGCAGTGAAAAGTTTAAAAGTCGCCACTTACGGCACCGTCTTGGATACAGTGGGTCTTCAGCACAAATTTTTAAGGGGGAAAGGTTAGAAAAGTAAAGAAATAAAAAGTCCAGCGTTACAGGTGGTAGGAATAAATTAGAAAATAGGCTCCGTGGTGTCCTACCTGTAATCATTTTGCTTGAAACAATAAGATGAGGTTGTCTGTACGTTTGGATTAAATTTCTGATCTGAAAGTTACCATGTTCTGCTTCCCTTTATATAAACTCACTACCAGCTTTCCAACATTATTGCACTGACGACACTTGAGTGAGATTTCACAGGCTGGGCTTGCCCTGGGGCTGAGTAATTTGGAGCGAGGGGAAGGGCGCTGCAGGCTGATGTCTCTCAATTTTAATAAAACCAACAGCTAACTGACCTCTGACCTGGTCTAACCTTCTAACCAGTCAGCATTCAAAGGCAGAATCTTTAATTCTTCCTGTACGCTGTCCCCATCAAACACACCGGGGGCAGTGATAGCGTGGGGTTAGACGCAGAGTAAAGCACTCTGTATATTGTTCCAATCAAGTACTCCCAGAGCAGTCAGAACACCGGGGTTAGATACAGAGTAAAGACCTCTCTACACTGTCCTTATCAAACACTCCCAGGGACAACGTGGGTTTAAATACAGGATAAAGCTCACTCTATACTTTGAAACTGAGAGCAAATCTATCTGTACTCTTTTAAACTGAAAGTTAAGCCCCCTCAACGCTGTCCCTATAAAATAATCCTGGAAAAGGGACAGCACCAGGGTAGATGCAGGGTAAAGTCTCTCTACTGTTTTTAAGCTGAAATCAAAGCTGTCTCTGTCTCATCAAATGCATCCAGAAAAGGGACGGCATGAGGTTAGGTAGAGAGTGAAGCTCCTTCCTTGAATCTGAAAGTAAAGCTCACTCCACTCTGTCCTATCAGTCACTCCCAGGGCATGGACAACATGGGGTTGGACACAGTGAATATCACCCTGCCCACCCCCCACCAATCTCAGGTCCTTGTCAATTGAATATTATCACCATACTGTGTTAACAAACATGATTGTCTTGTGCCCTGTGCCCAATAATGGTTTCAAACTGACTTGACCTTCTGCTGAATTTGTAGGTTCTACCTGTTCGTATGCTGTGTCTGTACAGGTGGAGCAGAGTTTGTGAAACGGCTGCCTCTGGAATGGTAAGTCCTTAACTAGAAACTCCCTCTCTGCAAAGCCCAGTTACCCCCCGGTACCCTCCAGTTATACAGCACGCCTCGGGAAGGATATGGTGGGACTGCAGTCTGGATTTATCAGCGTAATACTTGAACTTCAAAGGTTAAATGACAAGGAGAGTTAAACCGAGCAGGGCTGAACTATCTTGAATTTAGAAAGTAGAGGAGTGATTTAATTTTAAATTTAACTATGCTGTGGAAATCAAGGTATTGTGCTGACCTAACCCAAAAGGAGCAGCTTTGAGTATCCTGACTGTCCATTGTTCTTCCACTTGTGGAGTTATTGCCATTCCCTCCCCATCCCACTCCATGCAAAGGTGAAGAGCCCTCCCCACCGAGACTCCGGCTGAGGTAACGATTCCCCAGGGTTGCTGGACCTGGCCCCGTCCCCTCTCTAGGCCTATGCTCCCCGCTGCGAGCGGGCTGATTTGTAATCGAGATCAAGCAATTCCCCTTAAAACCCCACCATTCCTCCACTCCTCCAACCCTCCCTCCTCACTCAAACAATAAAGGAGACACTCAAACTGAGATCAGCTACAAACTGATACTGGACATTCTGTAGAATGGCAGTGGTACCTTTGCCTGTGCTGTGCCATCAAGAATGCCAACACCTTCCCGACTAAGGATGAGGGAATGTGGGGGACTCTAGATAGTTCGCGTGGTTGGGGATAAACGGAACACATTGGTTTCGGTAACAGCGTAGCTTGTGAATGACTGTGCTAACTGGTTACACTACTGTGTTGAAATCTTAAGAGAAACTGAGAACCTTAGGGACAAGCTTGGAACCCTGGGACAAGCTGAAAAACTCTGAAAATCAGAGGCACAAATTGAGGCCATTAGCGTTATTAGGCTTCAGTCTGGGTTCCATTCGAGGTCAGCAAGTGCATATCCGAATGATTTATTGTAACATGCTACATGGCTTTCAGCACTCCTCTGGGCACTGAGGTCTCTACCACCCTCTTGGAGAATGCACTGCCCCTTGACATTTCTTCACGCTACTCTTCACGCTAATTATTTTAAAACTATGGGCCCCGTTATTTACCTTTCTGCTCATGGCAATACATGCTGCCCTATCCACCCACAACAAAAACCAACACCCTCACGTAAGGGGCATTAAGTGACCACCCCAAACAGGCCTCGTTGCACCATGCAAAACCACGGGGACGTGAGAATGACTAACGAAACACTGCGTTGGTTTGTGAGTTGAAGCACAGTCACGGGCCACTGAGAGAGTTGGCAGGCTGAAGGAAGTGGCTTTTCTCTGTAATGGGGACCTCCTGACCCAGCATCCACAATGGCAGCGCAAGTGCTCCCTCTGGGACTGAAGGCTTCCAAGGCTCAGTCCCAGGGATAGAGGGGTTTCGTTCCTGCCGTGGATGATGGGTAAAAGAGCCACCATTAGTCAAAAGCTGAGCTAGGTTCAAGGCAATGCTGCAACCTCGCTATGCTGCTGCCTTGGGCACTGATGAGCTGTCTGGTCTTCCAACAGACCATTTGGTCTGTACTTGCAGCCAGTGGTATCGGTCCCTGGGTGAGTACAGACCTTTCTATCAGATGGAGGAAGACTGTGGGACAGCAATGGGACCAGACAGAAACTAGAATCGGACACAATGCAAGTGAAAGCAAAAAGAAGGAATGTTGCGGGAGATGCAGCCAATCCTGGGATATGTAGCTCACCCAGTTTCATAGAAAATAAGAGCTGGAGTAGTCCATTCGGCCCATTAAGGCTGTTCCAACATTAAACTGGCTCATGGCTGATCTTCTACCTCAATTCCACCTTCCTGCACTATCCCTGTAACCTTAACGATCCTTAGTACCTGTGTTTTTGGTGTGATATACGCACACATACACCTGCAAGCCTCTCCGGCATCCTCCACGGCCCAAATACCCTCATCTCTGCTGTCCCAGGAATCTCCGTGGAAGGGTTTCATGTAACTTTGGTTCGATCAGGGTAGATGGGGGAAGGGCTATGGAGGGGTTAGTTTTTTTTGGCTTTGGACCGCAAGTTAAAACTCTGCATGGTTTTCAGGGTCGACATTGCACATCTGATCCTGTACCACCTGAGCACCTGCTGCCGGAAGAAGTACTTTGACTTTGAGCGAGAGATCCTGGCGTTTGCCAATGAAAACTGGGACAACCTGCTGGTTGGTGAGGTATGTGTGTGACGGCACTTTGGGGGTTAGTGGGTGAAGTGGGTAGAGAGAGATGGGCGCACGATCGACACCTTCCTGATTGTCCCAGCATCACATGGCGATTGTGATAGGAGGCCGAGGAGTATGGGGGGGTGCATGTACACATTCGTGTTAGGAATAGAAGTTAGCCATTTGGTCTTTCAAGGCCATTGATGACTGTCATGGCTGATCATCCACCTCTGCACCTTCTTCCTGTTTTCTCCCCATTTCCTTTAATCTGTTTAGACCCAAGAGCTATATCTAACTCCTCCTTGAAAACATAGTGTTTTGGCTTCGACCACTCTGCAGCAGGGAATTTCACAGGCTCCCCACACTCTCTGGGTGAAGATGTTTATCCTCATCTCAGTCGTCAATAGCCTACCTTATCCTTACACTGTGATCCCCTGGTTCTGGACTTCTGCATTGGGAACTTCATTCCTGCACTGACCCTGTATAGTCCTGTTAGAATGTTATAGATGTCGACAAGATCCCCACCTCATTCATCTAAATTCTAGTAAATATAGACCTGACCAATCCAGCCTCTCTTCCTACGTCAGTGCTGCCATCCCAGGATTCAGTCTGGTAAACCACATTTGCTGTCCCTCCACGGCCGGAACATCCCTTCCTCTGACGTGGTTTCACCAAGGCCCTGTACAATTGCATTGATTGTGGTGGGAATTGGAGACTAAAATCATCGTTCTTCTGATTTTTTTTTTCAGAACCTTCCTTTCTCCTGCTGCCAGACTTTTTTTCCTGGGGGGGTGGGGGGAGGTGTGGATTGCTGTCATCACTTTTACTTTCAAGGTGAGAATTCCGTGGGATCGTATTTAAGTCCGTATCAGGTTGGGTAAAATTCCAGCTGCTGTCCTCCAATCCCGGTCAGTTTTCCGATGTGCAAAGTGGAAACTGGGGAGATGGTGGCAGAGATCCAGACTGACGTTCTGTGGATGAGGTTGTGGACTGGGCAGCGAGCACACTGTAAATTGGATGGATCAAGTCTAGAATTTGAAAGCTGGCCACCGCCATGGTGACCTCGATCCTCGGAATTCTCTGCTTGTTCTTCCATGCACACCCCGCTGCCTCTTGTCTTTCGGGTCAGAAATCTGCTGTCCTTACCTGGGCTGGCCTCATGTGACTGGGATGGGTAGCAACAGACAGCCTTGCTTGTGATCCTTGCATCCCCGGGAAAGGATTTAGGTTTAGGTTTAGGTTTATTGTCTCGTGCATTTAAAAAAAAAAACAATGCAAAGTGTTTCATTACACGCAAAGTGTCGCCATACTCCGGTGCCATCTTGTAACACCGTAATGCGAGATTTTGCTGTAATAGAGTTCATCTTTCTCTCTCCTCTTGTTCGTCTTCCGCTGCTCCTCCAGTTGCTGCTTGACATTGGCTGGGCTCTCTGATATAGGCTTTGGAGTCTCAGTTATGGTCTGTAGGGCCTTGGTTACAGGCCTCCGCCATGTTTGAGCAGGAGCCATGGGTCTGGGGGTGCGCGGGTTCCGTCTCTCCAGTCCCCCTCCAGATGCTGCCACTGGGCACGAAGGCCCTCCACCGCCCCTTTTGCTGGCGCTACCGCTCCCTCAGGCGGCTGGGCCTACCCACAGACCTGGAGCCTCGGCGCGGCCTGCGAGTCCGGGCCAGGGGAGTCAGCCTAGGCCCTGCTCCTCACTTGCTGGAGACTCCGGGCTGGGGTGGTGCCGAGTCCAACTCGTTGCAGCGTCGCTGATGCCAGGGGCCTCCTCTTTCACCCAGGTCTGGTGATGGATAAATAAATCCCAGTGTTCGGCAGGTTTGGCATCTGAACCCGTGACCTCAGTGTTACCGGCCCAATGTCACGGCCACCACACTTCAACATCCCTTCCCACAGCCCCCTCCAAAATCCTGGGCCACCGTCTTTGGTTTGAATAGCCCCCTGTGACAGGACCTTATCCGAATATCTGACAGTACCCTCTGCAGATTATTGTCAGACAGGGAAATGAAGGTGTAACGGGAGTAAATGGAGAATTATTTTTGTTCATTCATGGGATGAGAGTGTCAGTGGCTGGGCCAGCATTTATTGCCCATCCCTAATTGCCCAGAGGGCAGTTATGAGTCACCCACATTGCTGACAGTCAGGAGTCACATGTAGGCCAGACCAGGTAAGGATGGCAGTTTCCTTCCCTAAAGGACATTAGTGAACCAGATGGGCTTTTTGACAATTGACAGTGGATTCATGGTTATCATTAGACACTCAATTCCAGAGTTCTGTTGAATTAAAATGCAATTTGCTCGCTCGCTCGCTTTCTCTTTTGCTCGTTCGCTCTCTGTCTTTCTCTCTGTCTTGGTGTGAATTCTGCCAGCATGATTTAGGAGCCCCACTTTGCACTCTACATCCTGTTTAACCTCACATGTTGTCTCCTGTTTGCCAGCTCTCCGGTGCCTCCCAGTCTGAACGCTACAAGCAGATCCTCAACGCCCTGAACAGCCACAGGAGCAGGTAAATGACTGGTCCTTTCCAAGTCTTCAGCAACCTTGGCATTTGTGAGTTCCGCTCCTGAAATGTATTCTGGTCTGGTATTGCCGGCATTGCACTGGGAACGTCAGCCTCCTAGTCCATGATTTACTTCTCTGTGAGATCCTAAAATATCGGAGTAGCAGCATAGAACATTCAGCAGGCTATTTGGCCCCTTGAGTTTGCTCTGCTATCTGATCAGATTGTGAGTGATCTGATTGTGATGTTAACTTTGTTTTCCTGCCTGTCTGCATTACCTTTGACTCCCTTGCAGAACAAAAACCTCTCACTCCACGTTGAATCTATGTAATGCCACTGCTCTCTTCGGGAAAGAATTCTTCCTCACCCCTGCCTTACTTGGGAGAGCCCACTTGCCTGTCTTGTCCAACCATTGCTGCATTGTAATGCAGACTAAATCCTCACACAGGCACTTCCTTTGTGTGTGGGGGAGTGGGTGTGTGTCTTTGCTGGAGGAGTGGCTTCCTTTTTCTCTTACTTACCCATCATTGCACCCCCTCGCCCCCACTCTTCTTTTTTGTCCTCCGTTATTTCTCTATCTTCTCTCTGTCACTCTCGCACTCTCGCTCACTATCTCTCTGATGCGCACGCATCGATACCCCTGTCTCACTTTCTGTGTGTCCTTTGTTTGTCTCTTTGTCTATCTGTCTCTTTCTCCTTCATCAGTCTCTGTCTATCTTTTTCCTCCCTCTATCTCCTCTCTTTCTCTCAATCTCCTCCTTTCTGTCTCTCTTTATCTCCCTTGTCTCTTTCTCTCTCTATCATCATGTCTCTTTCTCTATTTTCTTCATTTGTCTCTCGCTCGCTGTCTCCCCCTCTTGCTCTCTCTCTCTCTCTCTCTCTCTCTCTCTCTCTCTCTCTCTCTCTCTCTCTCTCTTTTTCTTTCTCTCTCTCTCTGTCTCTCTGTGTGTTTGCTTTGACTGGTTTCTCTGTCTCTTGTGCACGCCCTCGCTATCTCATTTGGGACATACGGCAAGTGACTGAGGTGATAGTAGGGGAAAACTTTGGGTCCCGTGAGCATAATTCTATTGTTTTAAAACGTTCATGGAAAAGGATAAACCTTCCTTAAAAATTAAAGGTTTTAGTCAGAGTAAAGAAAATTTTTAATCATGAGACAGAATCCTTTAAAAGTTGATTAGAGTAGACTGTTCACAGGTAAAGGGACAACTGACAAGTGGGAGGCTTTCAAAAGTGTGATGACAAGAGTTCAGATTCATTATGTTCCTGTTAGGGTGAAAGGTAAGGCTGGTAAAATTGGGGAACAATAGATGAATAAAGGTGGTTCTAGTCAAGAATAAAAAAAAGTCATGTATTAGACATAAACAACTAGGTTCAAGTGAATCTCTTGAAGTGTATGAAGAGTGTAGGGGCATTCTTAAGAGCGAACTCAGGAAGGCAAAGAGGGGATATGAGATAGCATTGGCAGATAAGGTTAAGGATAATCCAAAGAGATTCTACAAGTACATTAAAAGTAAGAGAGCAATGTCGGGGAGAGTAGGGCCCCTTAAACATCTCCTTTGTGTTGAACCTCAGGAGATGGGGAAGATATTAAATGAATATTTCACGCCGGCTTCTTAACTGTGGAGAAAAAGATGGAAGCTAGAGACTGTAGGGAATTACATATTGATACTTCATAGAAGAGGAAGTGCTGGAGGTCTTAGAAAATATAAAGGTGGATAAATCTCCATGACCTGATCCAGTGTATCCCAGGACAATGTGGGAAGTCAGGGAGGAAATTGCGACTCCTCTTTCAGAAGTATTTCTATCATCTATAATTACGGGTGAGGTGCCAAATAGCTGGAGAGTGGCTAATGTTGTGCCTTTGTTTAAGAAGGGACGTAAGGAGAAGCCTGGCAACTAGAGATCTGTGAGTCTGACTTTGGTGGTGGGTACGTTGTTGGAAGTGATTCTGAACGCTAGGATTTATATGCATTTGGAGACCAAGGAAGGATTGGGGATAGTCAGCATGGATTTGTGTGAGGAAAATCATGTCTCTCAAACTTGGTTGAGTTTTTTGAGGAAGTATCCAAAAAGATTGAGTGCAGAGTGGTAGACATTGTATACTTGGACTCTAGTGAAGCCTTTGACAAGGTTCCGCTCGGTAGACTAATTAGTAAAATTAGGTCACAAGGGATTCAGAGTGAGCTTATCAGTTGGATACAAAATTGGCAGGAGATGGAGAGTAATGGTGGGGGGTTGTTTTTCGGACTGGAGGCCTATGACCAGTTGTGTTCCACAGGGATTGGTGCTGGGTCCACTTTTTTTTTGACATTTATATCAATGATTTAAATGAGAGTATAGAAGGCATGATTAGTAAGTTTGCAGAGACAACAAAATTAAAGGTATATTGGACAGTTATCCAAGATCACAGAGATCTTGATTGATTGGGTTAATAGGCTGAGGAGCGGCAGATGGAGTTTAATTTGGATAATTGCAAGGTATTGCATTTTGGTAAAACAAACAAGAGCAGGCTTCAATTAAAAGCAGGGCCTTGGGTAGTGGTTGTAAAACAGAGGCCTAGAGGTTCAGATACATAATTCTTTGAAGTTTGTGGCACATGTACACAGGGTAGTTAAGAGGACATTTAGCATGTTTGCCTTCAATGCTGAGACCTTTGAGTATAGGAGTTAGGACATTTAGGATTGTACAGTACGTTGGTGAGGCCTCTTCTGGAGCACTGTGTCCAGTTCTGGTCTCCCTGTTATAGGAAGGATATTATAAAGCTGGAGAGGGTTTAGAAAAGTTTTATAAGGATGTTGCCAGGAGTGGAAGGTTTGTGTTATAAGAAGAGGCTAGAAAGGATGGGACTTCTTTCACTGGAATGTAGGGGGTTGAGGAGTGACCTTGTAGAGGTTTAAAAATCATGAGATGTATAGATAAGGTGAATGGCACGTGTCTTTTCCCATATGGTTGGGGATTTCAAGACTATGGGGCACATTTTTAAGGTGAGAGGAGAAAGATTTAAAAAAGACATGATGGGCAACTTTTTTTGCAGAGTTTGGTTCATGTGTGGATTAAACTTCCAGAGGAAGTGGTGGATGCAAGTACAGTTACAATGTTTAAAAGATATTTGGATAGGTACATGAATAAGAAATGTTTGGAGGGATATGGGCCAGGAGCAGGCAGGTGGGACTAATTTAGTTTGGGATTATGGTTGCACCGAAGGATCTGTTTCAGTGCTGCGTGTTTCTGTGACTCCTTTGTCCCTTTCTCTGTCTCTATCTCCTTTTTCTCCGTCTCCCTCCGTCTCATTTTGCTGTCTCTCTCTCTCCAGCCTTTCTGTTACTCTCTGTCTCTCTTTTCACCATGGCCCCCCATTCCCCACCTCTTGTCTTATTCTATCTCCTCTTCTGCATGTGTGTGTGTGTGTTTGTATGTATGTGTCAAACTGTCTTTTACTTTTGTACAACTCACTCCATCTCTCTCACTCTCCAGATTTGTGTCCGGGAAGGAGATCAAGAAGAAGAAGTGTATCTTTGGTCTACAGGAGCGGACGCCACCTCAGCCCCCGCCCGCTGATACCCTGTGTGAGATTGCAAACCAGCTGATGGAGACCTCTGCCAACCTCTCTCCCAAAAGGTCAGTCTTGGCCAGGCCAGTGAGGTGACGCTGCAGAACGGCACCCCCCACTGACAGTGTTTATGCTGAAATACAATGGCTGTAGAGATAGTAGGAACTGCAGATGCTGGAGAATCCGAGACAACAAGGTGCAGGGTGCAGGGCCTCTCTGCTCCTATGATGCTGCTTGGCCTGCTGTGTTCATCCAGCCCTGCACCTTGTTGTCTACAATGGCTGTATACTGGGGTAATGCTAATTCTGTATGACAAGAGCTTTGTGTAGAAAATTGCTCTCCAAATCCACATTGATCCGTTTTGAAGATTGACACCCTTGTTTAATTATTCCAGCTTCATGTTATTGCCAAAATATACTTCATTGAGTAATTATTTCCAAGCAAGTCACAATTGGAGTCAGGTATTGTAGAAGATGGAATGAAAAATACAATTTCTCCATTGAGCACTTTGGCCTCTGGGGTGCCCAAAGCCAAATGCAAATTTGGAACATGTACCAAACGATCAGAAATGATGTACGTTCCAATACAAGGTGCAAGGGGTTGTATACATTAACAGCCCCTCTGTATAGTATTGCAGAAAGACCTCAGACCATGGCAGCTGCCCCAAGCTTTAGTGCGTCCCTCAGCACCTAGTCCTGCACCTTGGAACGTGCCAGTCTGCAACACTCGGTCAGGGGCCAACTCCTTGCTATGGAAAACCAACACGTTTCGGGCAGACCAGAGAGCATCTTTCACCGAGTCGATGGTCGCCAGGGGCATTTCGAACCTCAGTATGTAGTGACACTTTGTGTGTGGTGACCCTCATTGCGCAAAACACTAAGGTAGCCATCACTTGCAATTCCACCTCCAGCATCCCCACCCCCCGAGTTCAGAGTTTTGTACATGGAGTCCCTGCAGATATGATCCATCTTAGACCTCCAGATGAAGTGGAGGTTAGCTCGGGTGACTGAAACAGTGCAGATTCGGGGAATGGGCCAGACCTGCGCCATGTACAACGAGAGAGAGAGAGAGAGAGTGCCTCACATCTGAATAACAGATTTTTACACTCAATTGAGAGGGAGCAATGCCTCCTGAAGACCAGTTCTGCCTTTCCTTGATGATATGCTCCTCCGCAGATTTTGCACATGCCCCAGCCCTGTCCGAACTATATTCCCAGCACCTGCAGGTCGTCTGCTTGTAGCTGATTTGTGCATATTTTATAATCGACCTGATCAGAAATATTATTATGCGCCTCTGGTGCAGGTGAAATGTTGGAAATCCTGGCTCAGAGGCAGCGACGCTACCACCGCACCATGAGGCCCTAGTTATGACGCACATCTGGAGTAGGTGGGATTCGAACTTAGGCCTCCCAGCCTAAAGGTGGGGACACTACCACAGCATCATAAGAGCCTCCTACCCATGGCTGATTTGTATCTGAGCTCCAGTTACACACTTTAATTCTGGAACATTTCCCCTACCTAATGGTACAAACCTGAGGGGCTGAAAGTAATTGAATCGATCACAGTCTGACACAGGATTTGTTCATGGGGAAAACGACCTGTTAATTCAGTCTGTTATTTACATTGTCACCATATGTGACCATATACAGCCCATGACAATCTCCATCTAGAAGGACGAGGGCAGCAGGTACATGGGACCACGACCTGCAAGTTCCCCTCCAGGCCACTCACCATCCTGACTTCGAAATACATTGCTGTTCCTTCACTGCCACTGGGTCAAAATCCTGGAATTCCCTCCCTCAGGGCATTGTGGGTCAACCCACAGCACGTGGACTGCGGCAGTTCAAGCTAACCCCACCTTTTCAACAGCAATTCCCCTGAAGTGAGCACGTTGGGTTAATGGTGAAGGGACGTAAAGTTGGAAGCCAGTCAGCCGCCCTGACCCTGCTGTTCTTCACGAAGCCAAAGTTGTAGCTGAGAGTCGAGGCTGAGGGTCACGGGGAGCCTGGTGCCGCTGCACTGTGCCCATGCCCCCACCCCAGGTTACGTGCTGTTACTCGGGAAGGTGGGACGCTGAAAAAGTTTGGTGTTGCTCGTATCCAGGTCCGAGCTCGAGGGAGTGAAGAAGGTGAAGGCCAAGAGGCGTCCTCCCCACAGGGAGTCCCAGGACCTGTACGAACTAAAGACCAGGCAGGCACGGCGCCTACTGCAGAAAGCCATCAGCCAGGTAAGCTGCCAGAGAGAGGGAGGGAGTGTGTGTCTGTGCGTGCGTGCCCGCCAAAGATGGCGAGGCGGGGCAGTCTGGTCGCACCAGTGTCCGAGGTAGACTCCTGAGGCAATATATTCGAGAGTGGAATCAGGTACTGCCTCCACCTCTCCCATCCAAGGGCAGGGGCAGCAGATTAGCACCATTACCTCCAACACCTCCACCTCTACCATCGCTGCCACCACCTCCACCACTTGAGTGTCCATTTGTAGTTGCCCTTGAAGAAGGTGGTGGTGAGCTGCCGCCTTGACCTGCTGTAGTCCATGTGGTAAATAGAGAGAGGGCGAGGTAGCTCAGGGGATTGCTATGGACCCGATGGGCCGAGTGGCCTGCTTCCGCACTGTAGGGATTCTGTGAAGAAGTAACCCCTCGACACCCATGGACAGGAGGGCATTCCAGGTTTCCCTCCCTGTCCATTCGGGATGCGGTTTTCCGTGTTCACTCACTTTCTGGGAATTGGCATCATGTTTGTGCAATTGACCGACGTGTGCTGTGGTGGGAGTGTGAGTCGCTGAAGGTTGAGCACAGTTTGGACTCCTCCAGCCACCATAGTGTGTGTGTGTGTGTGTGTGTTTGCTCGCTGTCAGAGGGTGGGGTTTGGGAGGCTGTCGGGGATCAGGGTGCGAGGTGCCTACTTCAACTTGACAATCAATGTTCTTTATGCCTGCAGAACGTCGTCACGAACCCCTACAGCCCCAACCAGTCTTACCAAGGCTGCCGAGGCAGTGCCAACATGTGTCCCATCAGGGAGAGTACCGAGAGGTAGGTGCACAGTCCAGTCAGGGAGAGACAGATTGAGGAATCGTCCACCCCCTCTGGGCGTTTATCCTCACCCTGTTCAGTTTTGGTCAAGGGGCTTTGTGCGCTGCAGGTTGCATAATGAGGGAGCACGGTTAGAAGCCAATGTGCATAGATTGTGAGAGACACGGGGCTCTTTGGAATGGTGCAAAAGAGCCATGAGGTCTGACATTGACATTGAACAGGACATGGCTGCTGGAGTTCCTCAGGGGAGTGTCCTAGACCCAACCATCTTCAGCTGCTTCATCTATGACCTTCTCTCCATCATAAGATCAGAACTGGGGATGTTTGCCAATGATTGCTCGATGTTCAGTACCCTTCATGACTCCTCAGATACTGAAGCAGCCCATTGTTCAAATGCAGCAAGATCTGGACAATATCCAGCTGGAGCTATCAATGGCAAGTGACATATCTGCCAAGCAATGACCATCTCCAGTAAAAGACAATCTAATCATTACCCCCTTGACATTCAGTGACGTCACCATCACTGAATCCCCCACTGTCAATATGCTGGGGGTTTTCATTGACCAGAAGTGGACTTACCATTTAAACACTGTACAGGGACAGGTCAGAGCTGGGAGTTCTGCAGTAATTAACTCACCTCCTGACTCCCCAAAACCTATCCATAATCCACAGGCACATTTCCAGAGTGTGATGGATTACTCCCCACTTGCCTGGATGGGTGCAGCTCCAACAACACTCAAGTTTGACACCATCCAGGAAAAAGCAGCCCACTTGATTGGCACCACATTCACAAACATCCACTCCCTCCACCACCACTCAGTAGCAGCAGTGTGCACCATCTACAAGATACACTGCAGAAATTCACCAAAGATCCTCAGCCAGCATTTTCTGAACCCACGACCACTTCCACCTAGAGCAAGGGCAGCAGATACGTGTTCCCCTTCGAGTTCCCCTCCAAACCACTCACCATCCTGACTTGGAAATATATTGCCATTCCATCAGTGTTACTGGGTCAAAATCGTAGAAATCCCTCCCTAAACCACAGTGCCAAAGGACATATACACAGCAGCTCAAGAAGGTAACTCACCACCACCTTCTCAAGGGAAACTAGAGGTGGAAGGTAAATGCTAACCAGTGATGCTGACTACCTGTAAGCGAATACATTTGTACCAAGCAATGACCATCACCAGCAAGACTGAATCTAAGCTTTCCCTGGATTGATCTGCAGTGGCCTATCTGACGCTGAATTCTCCAATTGTAAAGATCATGGTGGTCACTATTAATCACAGTAACTGAACTGAACCACATTATAAATATAGTGACGACAGCAGCTGGGAACTCAAGGGTAAGTAACTCCCCAGAGCCTGCCCACAAACTGCAGGGTCCAAGTCGTGAGGGTGATATTTGTATAGAGCAGACTCCCGTGAGCAACAGTAAGGTGGGTGAGTTGGTAATCTGCTTTTAGTGATCGCAGGTAGATAATTTTTGGCTGGGCCACAGCGGGGAGGACTGTGCTTCAGAGTAGTTGCTGCGGGATTGGTTCCGGCCGTGTGTGAGGAAACCGGCAGGCCGGTGGTGAGGGTGGGCTGGTGTGGGAATCAGAGGGTGGGTGGTGTGGTACAGGGCAAGGGACTGTCTGGGATATCCTAGTTTGCGGGCATTGTGAGCTCGGTTTGGATCGAACACCAATCCTGATTCGCCCCGATGTGATTAGATGACAGAAAACAGGAGCCCGAGTAGGCCATTCGGCCCTTCAAGGCTGATCATCCGACTCCGTCCCCTGATCCCGCTTTCTTCCCCATTCCTCTTTGATCCCTTTAGCCCTAAGAACTATATCCAACTCCTCCTTGAAAACATTGAGTGTTTTGGCCTCACTGCTTTCTGTGATAGAGAATTCCACAGGCTCCCCACTCTCTGGGTGAAGACATTTCTCCTCGTCTCGGTCCTCAGTGGCCTACCCTGTCTCCCTGGACCATGACCCTTGGTTCTGTAAGTCGAAATAGTGGAATGAACTAGCCTTGCGCTGGCTGTAGGGAGTTGTGGGCTGGCTGTGTGGTAGAATATTATCTCTCCTACACAATGGGATGCATTTTCTTTGATTTGTCTTCTGTGTGTGCGCCACCTCTTTCCTGTCTCCTCTTCCCGTCCAGCACCCTGTTTGCTTCTGTATCTTTTATCCCACCTTGCATGGCTCAGTGGAAGGACTCTCCCCTCCAATCCAAGAGGGCATCGAGTCCCACCCCAGGATGTGAACATGTGATTCAAGGCCGACACGCCAGTGCAGTACCTGGGGGAGTGCTGCATAGTCAGAGGCACTTGTGGCCTCACCCACACTCTCAGTGCGATACCCCATGGCGTTGTTTCTGAGTTTTCCCTGCCTCGTGGCAGACAGAGCAACAGAGTAAATGTCACACGATATCGGATCCATTTCACCCATCCTAACGGTGCTCGCTCCTTGGAAGAATGAACCACTCAGCCCCACTGCTCGCTCTCTCCTTCCCCATAACCTTGCAAATGCTGTCCTCTTCAGCTATGCCCATAATTCACTTCTGAAAATTAGTACTGGGAATGAGACAGAGAAGGAGGCAATTTGGCCCATCAAGGCAATGCTACTAGCCATTTCAGGCACAGCATCCCATGTGCAAATATGACACTTGCGATTGCCGTAAGAGGACTTGATGATCTTTTTGCCCTTCTCTCTTTTTCTCTCTCTCTCTCTGTCTTTCGGTAGGACACCTCCAAAGATGATGTACGCATCGATTCAGCCATCTTCGAACGCAGTCCGCAGTCTGGAGTCCTCGTCCTCATCCTCGTCCTTCGAGTATGGGTAAGGAACCCTTGTTGATGTTCCACAGACCCCTTCCCTCTTTACCACCTCCCCCCAGAACAGCTCAAATCAGGAGCCCTTCACCAGCCAAAGAGCCATTGGAGGGAGACCTGCTCACTGAAGGAAGCCATTCAGACCAACACAGGCAGTCTAGGACTAACCCCCATGTTCATCAATCTCACCCTGTTTCAGCATCCTCCCATGCTCCAAACAATAATCAATTTAATCTCAATCAATACTGTCCCTTGCGTACTCTCTGCCTCAATTCTCCCCATGCATAGAGTTCCAAGTTGTTTCTATCTGTATAATGTCATGGGAGTTACAGGGCTATAACCCTCCTATATGTATTAAGTAAGCACACTGTGTGTTACAGTGCATCTGCCTATAGTTTATATCACACACTGTATGTCACAAGGATATAACACTCCTGTAATCACAATAGAGCACACTATGTTGCAAATTTGTAAAACTCCTGTGTATGTTTAAGACTGTGTGTTACAGGTGGTCTATATGTAACCTATGCAACCCACCTGTATATGTTATTTAAACATACTTTTTGTTCAAGGGTGTGTGTACATTATATAACATGCTTTTGAGTTATATAGCCCAAAGTGTGATTAATGGGCATACCACTCATGTAGATGTTACATAGTATGCTGTGATATAACAAATGTACAAAATAGGAACAGGAGTCGATCATTCAGCTCCTTGAGCTTACTCCCCCCAGTCAATGATATCATAGCTGATCTGTTTGTGTTTTGAATCCCAAGTTCCCATCTCCTCCATTTTAATCTTTGATTCCCCTACCTAAGAATCTATCTACCTCTGTCTTTAAAAATATTCAATGACACCACCACCTTTTGAGGCAGAGAGTTCCAAAGTTGCACATCACCCCCCCCGAGAGAAGAAAATTCTCCGCTGTATCCTGAAAGTGTGATCCCTAATTTCAAAACAGTGCTGCCTAGATCTGGATTCGCCCACAAGAGGGAGATATCCTCTCCACAGCCACCTTCTCAAAAACATTCAGGACCTTCAATCAAGTTAGCCCTCAATGTTCTAAACTCCAGTGGAAATAAGCCCATAATCTATCGTCCTAGTCCGCTAATTCCAGCTATCTATCCAGTAAACCGCCTCTGAACTGCCTCCAGTTCCTGGCCTACTCCATTTAAGTAATTCTTCCCACCTTGTGTAACTCTACTGTGTATAATGCACAACACACTGACTTACAAGTTACAACGCTGCTGTATATCGTTGTAACGAGAAACATGCTGCGATAACTTTTCCTCTTTATCAAGACAGATACAAGAGGACCATATTTTGAAGGAACAACAATTTATACAGCACAAGGAAAGGGTGCCAGTTGGCAACTTGACCGTCATTGGTTGAGGTGTTGCCTTGTGCCATGACCCAAATAAATGTTGTCCCCCAAGTTTCTGTTCAGTTGGAAGTGGCACTATCCATGGACACATTCACTTTGCTGATGCCTTGGTTCTAATTTGAGGAAAAGCCTTGGGGATAAGATCTCAACCAATAAAAGTCCACTCGCCAACCAATCAGTGCTTGTTTCTCATTCAGTATAAATCGTTCCCTTGGAAACTTGATATTCTCTTGAATCCCCCCTGCTGAGTTCACGATAAAAATAAATCTCGGCATACAGCAGTATGTATATAGTGTACTACCATCTCTGCCTATCTTAGAACACAGTTACATTAAGCAGTAACGTTCAATCTGCTACATAGATGTGTGTACATCTCATATAAAATATATTATCGTTTATCGTGGGATGTGGACATTAGTGTGATGATGCCTGTCCCTAATTGTCCTTGAACTGAATGGCTTGCTAGGCTATTAGCAGGGTTAGCTCGACCATCTTCCTGTGGATCTGGAGTCACATAGAATCCTTACAATGTAGGAGCAGGCCATTCAGCCCATCTAGTCTACACCAACCCTCCAAAGAGAATTCCACCCAGACCCCACCATATCCCTGTAACCCTGCCTTTCCCACGGATAACCCACCTAGCCTGCACGTCCTTGGGCAGTTTAACATGGCCAATCCACCTAACCCACATATTTTTGGACTGTGGGAGGAAACTGGAGCACCCGGAGTAAACCCACACAGACACTAGCAGGGGGCAATATGCAAACTTCACACAGACGTTCGCCCGAGGCTGGAATCATACCCGGTCTCTGGTGCTGTGAGGCAGCAGTGCTAATCACTGAGCCACCGTGCCGTTACATTTAGGTCAGACTGGTTAAAGTGGCAGATTTCCTTCCCTGATGGACGTGAGCAAACTAGACAGATTTTTGCAACAACTGATAGTTGTTTTGTGGTCACTATCGCTCAGACTAGTTTTTAATAGTCAAAAGTTTGTCAATATTTAATTGAAATCCACCACAGGCAGCTGTGTTAGGATTTGAACTGATAATTCTCCCATGAAGCCTAGGTCTTTGGATTTTTAGTCTCGTGACCTTACTTTGAAGTTGTCATCTCTTCCTCCAACAGGGGGTATTGCAATACTATCTCTGTGCTGATTGACTAACCTCCACCCCCTTCCCCATTCCCCAGGATCTTAGCCTGCCTGGAGAATTTGAATGATGGAGAGAGATTGGGTAGACTGGGGTTGTCTTCCTTGGAGCAGAGGAGACTCAAGGGGGATGGAATTGAAATGTACAAAATTGAGGGGCCCAGACAGGAAGGAGCATTTCCCCTTGGCTGAGGTAATTACTAAGGAGGCACAGAATTCCAGTAAGGGGCAGGAGGCTTAGAGGGGAGATGAGGAAAACTTTCACTCCAGGTGGGATGGGAATCTGGAATTCGCTGCCTGTAAGGGTAGTAGAGGGAGAAACCCTCATGAATTTGAGGAAGTGTTCAGATGTGCACTTGTGGTGCCAAGATAGACTAAACTATGAGCCAAGTGTTGGAAAATGGGATTGGAATAGTTAGATGCTTGTTTCTTTTGACTGGGACAGGCCCGATGGGCCTATTCATGGGCTGTAGGCCTCTATGACCATCTGACCTTGTTTTGCCCTCAGCGAGAACTCGGGCACTCAGGCCAAGGCTGCGGGCATCGGCAACCGGCTGTTGGACTGCGACGACGGGGCCGATGAGAGGCCGGGCGACCCTGCAGAGACGGAGCAGGAGGACGAGGGGGAAGAGGAGGAGGAGGAGGATGATGAGGAGGAGGAGGAGGAGGAAGAAGAAGAGGAAGAGGAAGATGGCTCGGACATCCCGATGGAGGCCCGGTCGCAGTGCGACTCCAGCGACGACGACCTGCCGCTCTCCTACCTGCGCTCATCCGTCAACAGCTACTTCGGGGCGATGGGCAGACTGGCGCGGGGGGAGACGGTCCGTATCCTGGCCCGCAGACTCACCCTGGACAACAAAGTGCAGTACCTGGTGGAGTGGGGTGGCCCCTCCATATTTTAGCTCCCCCCTTGAGAGGGCAAGAGAGTCTGACCTGAGGGGGAGGAGGGGGCGCAGGGTGGAGGGGGTTTTCGGGGCAAGGAGTGAAGTGCCAAGCTGAAGCAGGTTTTCTCAAACCAGGCACCCGCTCGGCATCAGGAGCAAAGTTTTATTTTAAACCGCACGCTTTTTAAAAAAAAAAAAAATCTTTGGAATTCTTCAGGCGCGATTCCATTTGCTCTATGTGTAGGCTCCTGCAGTGTGCACCCAACCCCCCCCAAGCATGCAAGCACACGGAGATGTCGCGGGGGAACTGTCAATGGCAGCTTTTAGTGTCACAGAGCCCACTCAAGTAAAGGAGAGCTGGCCGATGGTGTAGGAATGTCTGAGAGATGAGGGATGTGGATCAGACTGCGCCCACGGTCTCTGTGGGGAATGTGCAGGAATGTGCTGTGGAACTGTGTTGGGGAATTTGGACCATGTGTATGGGACTGATGGACACTGGGGTATTGTGTAGGGGACTGTACAAGGGATATTGGAGAG